ACGAGTGAGAAGATAAGTTGTGTAACTGGAACAGCTTGCTGGCTGTAAGTAAGCCGATTCAAGCTACTGTAAGTGGCAGTGAAAGTAAGGTACTTGAGTATTAGAATATCCACAGGTAGTTGTGCTTTGTTGGAAAAAGTGACATCGTGTTTAGCAGCTTTTTGTTTGAAATCAACATAGGGTGTGGAAACATGAAAACTGATAGGATCTTTACCATAGAAGGGGACGCCTGAGAATGTAGGCTGATCTGATCTGCCCGATCTCACTGAACTGGCTGGCAACGCACTGTTTCCAAGGAAGTGCTTAGGCCATAGAGCCAGAGAAGGCATCCGCTGGCAAGCTTGGAGTTCCTGTGTCCATCCACCCCCTCCACATACACACTGCAACAGACAAATGACCTGGAAGCTAACAGTTGAAATGATACTCTCAGAAATGTGCTGTAGGGTTGACAGAATTTACTTTTGAAGATTTGGCAGGGAATGACTTTTGATCACATAAGATGGTGTTCATGTTTTTAAATACTTACCAAATGTGCATTTTTTTAAAAATAGTAAATATTTTCCTATTTGCAATTTTTGTGGATCTTAAGAAGGGAGCAGTTAACTGTCCATGTAAAATAACCTAGAAGGGCACCAGCAGTTGCCATCCTCAAATCCATTTGCTTTAATGTTCTTTTCTCTTTGGAAAACATTTCAGTACTTTCCTTCATTTGTTTTTCTTTGGCTCACTGACTACCAAATAACTGTTCAGTTTTCTTTCTGTGTGTGCATGTGAATTATCTTAGAGTTTTTGCACACTGGCACCACGTTTTTCAGGTAAGCCTGCCTTCATTGCACATCTGCGGTAAATGTGTACTCTGCTTATAAGCTGTTAAGAAATTCTGCTGCACGGGTGTTCTTTTGAATTGTGTTAGTCTGACATGAAGATCTGTTATTACTTTTACATGCTAGTAGTCCCTGACGTATGGGTTTTGAGCTTCTCTGTGGATTTTCTGTGATTAGAGATGGAAATAGTCTTAAAAACTGCATGAAAGCTTAAAACAAGATATTTATGTAATGTTTCATGTGGCAGAGCAGATCAGCATGCTCTACAATAACCTCTTTGTATATGCAAACTTCTAGTTTCAAATCACAGTATAGGAAAACCACAGAATACACTGAAGATATAAAGTGGTAATGATAGCAAAGAAAAATCTGGAAAGCTTACGTATGTAGGACATGAAATTGTAATAGCCATGCCTCTTGATCTCTCTGTCCCTCTGTCTCTTCTCTCTGTCTGTCTCTCTTTTCCACATCCTTTCCTCATTACAGATTTCGGTAGTGAACTGGAGAACCAAGCAGCTTACCTAACGTGCTGTAAGAACTTCCTTTTCTTCCCCATATAATTACTTCTTTTTCGAATCTCAGCTGTCTTCACTTATTGAGGATTCTGGATGCCACAGTGAGCATGAAGTCTTCACATTGTCTCTAAGAAGGAAGGGATAGAAATGCTAGAAAAAAGGGTATTGCATATCAGTGTCATGCTGGTGTAACAAAGCATCCTCAGCTGACTCTATTCTTAGTGCAGGCTTCCTGTATATTCTTGGATGTTTCATTTCACTCCAGGAAATGTCTTAGCTTGAAGACATGGCAGAAAATGTGTCTTCGAAACAATTTTTCCTTGTGCAAGTAGTTGGAGACATAATTGTTATTTACAAAGCAGGTACTATGTCATAAATGATAATATGTTTCTTCTATCTTCTGGCTTAATAATACTATTCGCTGGTTTATTCTCCCTTGCATTTCACTTTTCTTCAGCATAAATATAACTTTCTCTACTCAAATAAGTACTCTTCTGTGTAAATGCATAGAGAAAGTATTCAGAAATTAGACTCTAATGTGCCATGATGCTCAAAAATACAAAAAATGCATTTTCGTAACACAAAGGGCCCTTGTGGTGGTAAGATAATTTTGGTTATGTGAGGGAGCAGAAGGGGGGGCTGTTGGCAAGCGACCAGGATCTAGCTCTGGCTGCGTACTGCCTTAGTTGCCTTCTTTCTTGTACCCAGGCCTGTCCACCCAGGACTGTGAATGGAAGCACACAACATGGGTACAGGGTGTGTGTGATGAGGTGGCCCACATAATTTTTCTGACGTCAAACCAAAGGTGGTTCTGTAATGTAATCATGGATTTTGCACTTTTTTTTTATTTCTTTGTAAATAATTTAAGGACATACAAAATTGCTTTTCCTACTGCTTGAGAAAAATGATTCAACATCCACCAGCCTCTTACACCTCCTTGAAAATTGCCAGTGGGTGCCCACCCATCAAAGATATGGCCATGCAGTCTGAAGGCAGTTGGTGGCCTTGTGACAAGAAGTGGCAGCCAGTCTGCGTTATGTATTCTTCTGGTAGCTGAAGGGAAGGGAGAGAGGCTTTGCTTTCTGCTTTGCATTTTTCCACCAGGCAAAGTGGCCAAATCCCCACAGTAGCAGACGGAAAGGTCAAAATGTCAACAAAGATTTCATGACTCTGTTCAGCTTCTGTGCTTCTGCAGATAGTTCTTTACCAGGATAGCACAAGCAAATTTTCAATTGCACAAATGCCATTGGCCTTGCTGGGAATTAAAACTCCACTGAACTTGAAGATTCACCAAGAATTGAATTAGTGCTGCTCAATTAATTAGCTGCTGTTGTTAAACACTAAAAATCTGAAAACAGCTTATTTTCCTCTGCACAGTACTCTGTAAGCCATTCAAAGCAACTTAAACTGACCTACAATTGCAAGTGAAAAAGCTGACTTGTTGCCTGTGTCCATTCCTGGTCATGCCAATCCCAATGACAGCAGAAACAAGATTTCCACTACCTATACCACAGCTCCAGTCCTTCAGTGCATGGAAAAATATGATACGCAAACCCAGAGTGTTTCTGCAGTAAAAGCCATTTTTTGTGTTCTGGATTTCACTCTGTACCCTTGCCTTGTACTCAGGCCAGTAGAAAGATTTCTTTAGGGCATACAGTAAGGTAAGATTCCTCTCTGGTGGCATCTGGGTTGCTTAAAGTAGTGTTTTTCAGTAAATATACAACTGTAGATGAACTGTGGTGAGGGTGACAGCATCAGCAGTTTTGGCTCCTATGGCAGCAGAGAGTAGACCAGGCTCCTCGAAAGATCACAGTTCCTTAGCTTTGAAGAACACAGCTTGCATGGGGAGCTGGTCATTGTAGCCAGCCTTACCTTTGAAAGAGAAGTGAAGGCTTTGCAAAAGTAGGTCATAAGTAGGTGAGGTAACTTGGTCTTCCACCTCTGTAGTGCTTGAAGTAGGAGGAATTTCTCTGGCTACCAATGAAAGGAGAGCAGAGCCACTGACTCTGCTGCAAACATCATCCTCTCTTTAAGAACAGGATAGATGCATTGAAAAAGAAGATATTGCATGCCACTGTCATGTTTGTGTATCAAAGTGTCATCAGTTTAATTTGATCTCAGGATCAGGCCTCATTCTCCAGATGCAGGGGCCTGTTTGCTTACAGACTGTTATGGCATGCCTCTCTGCTGTCAGACCCAACTAATGGCAGCTGCAAGGATGCATTGTTCCCACCTGTGTTTTTTATCTGCGTGATGTGAGAAGGGTGGACCTGAGAAAAGAATAGGAAGGGGGAGAGAAGAAAAACAACGTATATAAGAACTATTGACTTCAATTTCTATTTATTTTTGTATGCTTGATTAAAAAAGAAAAAATCACACACTGAAAATCATTATAAATGCAATCAGATGTTCTTTGTAACAGGTGGAGGGAACAAAGTGTATTGATATGATGCTTAGAGAGAATTTGGAGCACTTGAAAGGGTTGGGTTTTTTTAATGACTTTCCATTTACATCTTAATTACTCTCATAACTTTATTTTACCCTGATACTGTATTTTACTTTCAAAGGTTAAAAATAAAGCACTACATTAATTTCCCTGTACAATCTCTGAGCTAGTATCTATTTCTGAATGTAAAAGTTGAGAACTAAAAATGTCTGTGGAAAAAGAATTCCTTTAATTGTCTTACCAAGTAGAAATAGTTTCACACGTGACAAGGGTGCACTATGCCAAAGGAGTGACAGCTGAAAGGAATTGTCATGGGCACTTCTCACACAGCGGCTCTTCACTGCTGCTCATGAGCAGGGCTGTGACCCTATTGCCAGATGAACTTCTTCAAAGTGTTGACAGAAATACTTAACTTGTACAAATAAAGGCTGTTTACAAATAAAGCAGTGACCATGCCTTATTTTCTAACTGGCAGAAGTGGATGCAGCCCTCTAGGCAGGTTAGAAGTGAAATGACCCAGAAATCAGCACCAGCTTTTAGAATCCCATTGCTCCTAGTGTTCCAGTTGAACAAGTAGAGCTTTCCTGACACTTCTAAGCGTTAATTAAAGACTGAGGTTCTGACTCCTGGAGTCAGTTTCAATCCAGATGCATAAATGCATGCTGTACTTTTTGTACAGGTATTTTTGGAGCAGGAGGACGGTACATATGCTGCAAAGGTCATTGGGCAAAAGTGAACCTGAAAGGGTAATGCGAGAACTGGATAAGAGATACTTGCAGCTAATATAATTTTTAATAAAAGATTAAAAAATAAAGAAATTGAACACTTCTAAAAATAAAAAGTACATCTTTGCTTGTGTCTGCATTTCTGATAAATGTAAAAGTTACGTTAGTTATGTCTATATACAACTTCAAAGAATGTTTTAAATTTTATTGTGAAGAATGTTATAATTTAAATTCCCAAGATTACATCTAATTTTTGTGCATGCAAGTTGGCTTACAACTACTGAAGTTTAAAAAGGCTGAATGCACTGTTCACAATTTTGAGAACATAGTTTATCATATACATTTGCCTAATACAGAATTCTCTTGACTGCAAAATCGTAGTTTTGCCAAACAAGATGAGTGCATAGTCCTTGATATTTTTTTTTTTTTCTTTTTCTGAGAGTTCTATGAAAGCCATAATAACGCTGCTTATCTGTCTCTTTACTTACAGGTACATTTATGTTCCCATGGGAGGATCTCAGTCCAGTCTGCCAGGAATGCTCTTTTCCACTGCCCTCACTTTTGCCTTTGTAAGCTATTGGCATGGAGGACAGAGCTATCTGTGGTACTGGGGAGTACTTAATTGGCTTGGAGTAATTGTGGAAAATGGTGTCAAGAGGATACTTTCTGTTCCAGTTATTCAGGACTTAATTGTAAGTTGAATCTCTCTTCATTTTGTGTTCCTGTTTCCTGGTTCCATGCTTGTCTGTAATTCCTGGCTATTGGTTTGTTTTAATTTGAATTGAAACTAGAGATTAACAGATACAAAACCATTCCCTTCCCCACCTTCTTCTATTTGAGGTGAGCTGTGTAACTAGAATTCTTCAAAAAAGAGCCAGGCAAACACTCAAATATGCGTGGTCTTAAAAGTCTGCAATGCTAGTATTTGCAACTGCTTGTCACATTGTATACGGTTAAACAGAAGCCAGTTTTAGAGTTTCAGTATTTGTATTCTGATTTCACTCAGGATGGCCTTAAAATATTCATCTTCGCTAAGATTAGTAGTGTAATTTTCTAACCGTGTGTTTCCTGGTCAAGCAGCTGAGTGCATCTGGAAACAAACTTACTTTGGCAAATCTTAGGTCACCAAGCAATTGGATAAAGAAAGTGTTACTTTGTTTTGGAGACCTCTGATATTTTTACTTTACTGACACATTCTACCTTCATTCACTTCTACTTTTCTCCATATAGCGTTTGACAAGCAGTCATATGCAAAAAGCACTGCTTTAATTTGATGATCATTGTAGTCTGCGGGTTTGCTTAGTATTTAATCCCAAATATTCTAATAACTATCTGTAAGAATAAGTAATTCTTACGTTTTTCTTCCTTACTAGAGATGGGGTGCTCAGAATTCATACTCTGTAATACTGTGCTGGCAGTGACTCACTCTTCAGTCTCCATCCCTATTTCAGTATTTTTTTCTGAGAGGCTGTGGCAACTGATTCAGCCAAGTAATTTAGTAGCCAGTGCCCATCACTATGAATTTGGTGACTGTCTGGAAGCAGTTTGTTTTCTGTCCCAGAGAATAAGATAATCAGATCCATTAATTTGCCTTCTAGAATGAAACTGAGCTTCAGCATCTGACCAGTTCCATACATAGGTCTCCGGACTGGAGATTTTCAGGCATCAAATGAGGAACATGTAACTGTAGAGGCTCTTTGTACTTAATGCCATTGTATTGGATTTTCTAAAAGAACTCTCAAGTAATTAAGGTCTTAAAAACCATTAAAATGATAAAGACAGGGCATTATGAAGGTGTGGTCATATGTGATGGATTCATTCTAAGTATAGTTAACCAGTGCTGCCAAAAAGATTCATTTTTGGTACAATTAATCCCCTAACAATGAACTACGTGCATTTTTCCCATCTCCTCCCTCCTTAAAGTTCAGTTACAGAATTCAGGTGAATGGGAATATATATATATAGTTTTTTAATTATGAAAAATAAGTTCAGTTTCAATTTGGCTTCATTCTTAAAATTGAATTGATCACAAAGTATAACAGTAATTAAAGAAAAGCTGCTTCTGTTATTTCCTACTGTGCCCTCTCCCTTCTCTTGCAATAGATTTAGAAATCTAAATAAAGTGTGTTTTATTCTTATCATTCACTGAATCCTGTGCTAAGAATATGTATAAAAAGAATTGAACCCTGCATTTATTCAGATTTTATGGTAATTTAAATCTCAGCATTTCGAACTTAGCACAGTGTGAGCAAATAACACTTTTGTAGCTTTGAATTCAGTCTGTTGGGTTTTAAATGTCCTCTCAGGCATATTGAACTGAAACAAACCAGGAAGCACAAGCATTGTTTATGAGAAGCAATACCAGCCTATAAATAAATATTTACTGGAAATGGTGAATTTCCTGACCCAAAAATTTGAACCTGAAGCTGGTCATCCCCTCTGATTGCAAAACAGTGCCTAGTTTCCTGATTTCAACTTCAGAAGAGCTGATGCACTTGCTTGTTGTTTTCAGCTCAAACCGTTTTGAACTTTCATGCTTTGATGAGTTTTGTTGTGAGAAGTTACCTGCAGATCATTTTTGGCTTAATAGAGGTTACTTGTTAGCTGAATGCAGTAACATTTTATTTCTTTTTATTAAAGCATTATATAGAGAATAACAATAGATGCTATGCATCATGAGCTAGGCTATCTATGTGAACTATGCATTAAATTGGGGGAGTTTCACTGGATTTTTATCAGGGTATTTATTTTTTCTTGAGATATGTGAAACTGTGAAGACCAAAACAGTGTTGTTTCTTTTCCCACCAATGCAATATTAATTTCCTACAGATGCACAGAGATCCCAGTAGTAACTCATTTGAAGTCAATGACGGGATTTGTATTGGCTTTTAATAAATAATGGGTCAGATTTATGAAAGAAAATGCTAATGGCTGTCATTCTTCCAATGATTTCATTTTTTTTCCCTCCTCCTTCTCCTTAAGGGAAACAAGGTAAAAATCTATACCTGAAAAAGTGACATCTTGGTTTAGAAATACATTTAAGATGATTTAAACTTTAAAATATCTGACAGTATCTTTAAACTAATGGCTCTGGAAATTGTCCAAAAGAAGACGTAGCAAAGAGGATGAAGTTGACAGATGGTTAAAATTAATGTTTTAATTTCAGTTGAAACAGTAGCATTTATTTTCTTAGTTGTTTCCTGGCAAAGTGAAAAGATGTCATTTGAATTTTTTAAATTGAGACACAAAGATATCTCTTCTAAAAATCCTGCTGTAATGAATTCCTGGTGTAAAATCATATTCGTAACTTTACTTAGAAAGGACCTAAATGCATTGTTAGCATCTCACCTTGGAAAGCCAACTAATATTAAGCAGTTCTTATTTTATAATACTGTTTACTACCTTTGTACATGTTTTGAGTTTTTGAACTGCAAAATACTTTGTTTTCTAAATTTATATTTATGGTTGTGACACAGTGAACTGATACAGGCAATTTCAGTCCACTATAAGTGCCTTTTCCCCCCTCTTTGTAAAAGGGGAAATATTTTGTATGATGTCCATGGTTTCGGTTAATGTGCTCCGCTAGGGGATTTTTTCCACTGGGACAATGAACTCTGTATATTTGTCTCTATAGGTGAAATATCTCCTTTGTTCTGGATACTAGGGACATGGCAATGATAATTTGCAATCTCAACACTGGATAGAACAGGATTTTAGAAGAATTTCAAAGACTGTAATAAGGGTTCTTCTGGTCTGGATTTTTTTTAATTTCTTTTTTCTTTTATCTGAGTAATTTGGTTGCGTGTGTTTTCTGCTCAAAGCATCAGCATTTCTATAGTTATTCATAATAAATGATGAAATGAACTTGCAGAGATCTGGGCTGGAACATGGAGAGATACTGCATGGTGTGCCCAGTCTCAGCTGTTCTTTAGTATACACTAGGCTTTGGTCTTTATTTTGCTTTGTTTGCTGGAAGGAATATTTATAGCACTGGTTTAGTAATCTCAGAAGGCTCTCTCACATTTTCTCCTTTACTAATAGCTTTATGTAATTAATTCACATTTTTATTGCAACATGGTGATTCATTTAAGTGACAGGCATTGCAGCAATGCTTTCTTCTCAGTCTTTTTATGTGTTTGCTGTAGACTTCTGCTGGGTTGGTCTCTTTACCGTCTGAGAATGTATAATAATGTAAGGCAAGGAAGTTGAACAAAGTCCTTTAATCAGATTCAGATACCCTGCAGTGCTGAAATCTTTTTCTGAGTTACAGGTATCATTCATAGTGTCAAAACCCAGCCAATGCAAAGAGCTTGCTGTCATACTCTGAGGAGCAAAGAGCAAGCATCTTGCATTTCTAGAGCCAGAGGTTAAATGCCTTCTGCCTGCCTCCCCCTGAACACTGAGTTCAATCATAACATTCTTCTAACCAGAAATCTCTACTAGCAGATGTTCTCTTGACTCAAAATCAATTGAAACTCCTTTCTTTTGATGTGAACAGAATGTTTGTCATGGCAGATTGGTGAACACTGATTGTTAATGTATGGTACCTAGGACTAGGAAGCTGAATTATCAAGGTGATGCTTAATACTGAGCAGCTGAAAGATAAATGTAGTTTTCAATTGCTTCCAGCTTTGCCAATAATAGTTCTGAGTCAAGAAATTCTTGCCATGATTCTGCCTTGCTTGATTTTTTTCAACTTTCTCAACTCTTTTCTTTTATCTTCGTGTAAGTGGATCCCAAAGCATTCAGAGAATCCTGCTAGACATGCACAAACACAGAAAGACACATGCTTGCATTGTGCCTCTGGTTTCCTTTGCTTAGGGAAGTTCTTGCTGCAGACTCAGTAATAGTCTGATAAGTGTTTTGCTTTAAGGACAAGCATTACAATATGATAAAAGCTTCAGTGACGTAAATGCCTGCAGCAGAATTTCAGAGATAACATTCTATCATTTCCTACCTTCTGAGTATGAGCATTGCTTTTTTGTCAACAGTGTGCAAGAAACATTAATTTTGATGCCATCAGTGGCATCAGTGCTATGCTTTTTCATCTGTCTTTAACCAGGTGATTGCTGCTCTGCTTCAGACAGCAGTGTTAGCTGTGAACCCCATTATGTATCTGCCAGTTGTCATAACAAATAAATATTTCTCCCATCCAGCATTATTTACCTCCTGTTCTACTTCGGAGACATCAAGTAGTTTTCTGGTGCTCTAGTCATAATGCAGTTTGAGAAGCAAATCATGTTACAGGGTGAAAAAAAGGTGAATCTGATAATGCAGTTCTTTTTTACTATTATGTCAATATAGCCTCCTCTGTTTCTCACCTTAAAAATTTGTGCAAACAATAGAAACTAGGAGTTGCATGCTCTTGTCTTTCCACTGTGCCTTTCAGAATCGTGTGCAATAACGCGCAGTATAACTGAGCCTGAGAATCTTCCAAGCTTTCAAATAAGGTCTGTACCTGCTTTGGCAGGGGGGTTGGACTCGATGATCTCTGGAGGTCCCTTCCAACCCCTACAATTCTGTGTGATTCTGTGTGTGTGATTGAAAGAGTTTATCAGGTGTATCCATGGGGATTATTAGTGTGTATTGTTTCACGGTGGCAGTGCAGGAGGACCATAAGGGCAGGACAAAATCTCGTGCAAAAATCTGCACTAATGATTAGACAAGTTAGACCAGCTTCCAATTTAGATAG